TCTCTCTCTCTCTCTCTCTCTCTCTCTCTCTCTCTCTCTCTCTCTCTCTCTCTCTCTCTCTCTCTCTCTCTCGCTCTCGCTCTCGCTCTCGCTCTCCCTCCGTCTTCCTCCATTCCTCCAAAATTCTTTAACCCTTAACCCTTCCGTCACCCCTTCCCCTCCATGGCATGTGACTAACCTCTACCCTCACCTGTTACATTGCCAGGGGACGAACGAGAAGGAACTTTGTCCTCACTTGGTGGAAAGCGAGGGCGAGGGAAGGGTTGCCGGTCCCTTGTGTTACCAAGAAGGAAAGAATACGAGGCTATTGAGAACATTTGCGAAAGCGGAAAGAGGTGCAGGTTTTGGGCGAGGTCAGTTTGACTCAACCATCCTCCCGGACTGCATGACTAAGGCGATTGGATGGCTTGCTTGCGGGCAAAGGGAAGGGAACTCATGAGGGGAGTTGGAAGGCAAAGGGGACTTAGGATTGCGGGAAGGGGCGATGTGTTGACCTCAATGGGGATTGTACTTGGTCATTTGTCTTATGTGGTCTTACGCAGGTGAGTAGCTTGGGACGATTCGGACGGGGCTGGATCCACGGATGAGGACTAGGACATGAGATTGGCTAAGGGAAAGGACTTGGACCCGGCTTAAGCCATGAATGCAGGTTGAGTTGTGGCCGGCGCTTGGGTGGGTGTTTGATGCATGGACTCGACTTGTGTGGGGTTGCATGGAGTGTCTCTCTCTCATGTGCAATGCGACGCCTGAAAAGACTAAGGGCGGTTTTGGGTAGGTGGATGTGATGCTAGTCGCTCTCGCAAAAAAAATATACCGGCTAGGGGTCCGAGCGCCGCCGCCTCACCCCAAGGATGCCGTCGGGGATGGCTTGAGCTACTAAGATTAGTGAAAAGGTGCGTGGCCCAATGGATGACGCTTGGCCTGCGCACGGTAAGAAGACGAGATCCCAATGAACCCCCTGGACTGCTTGCGTATTGGAAGGAGTGATTGCCTGATCAGACTTAACTGAATCGAGAAAACGCCACAAATGCTAAAGAGCTACCATCTTGACGCGAGAGCGGAGCTACATCCCCCAATGTAAAGCCCTCTCGCAAGAGGCCCACCCCCATCCATCTCAAAGCACTAGGTGGGGGTGCCCCTGGGACGAACAACCCGCGCCCTGAGCGTGAGTGAGGGCGGGTCGAGCCAAATGGGACCCGTAGTGGGGTCGACCGAGGCTCGAAAGTCCTTCAGGGTACAGTCCCTACAAAAATGGTGGAGGTGCCGGGTATGGGTTAAATTGACCCATACGGTCTCGAGGGGGGCACCCGATGCATGACCGAGAACACAAACGTGAAGAGAAGGAATGAGGATTTGCGTGTACTCTATCCCTTTGAGCGAATCAGATTTGAGGGTGGCTGGGCGTATGGCAAGGCCAGGCCTAGAGGAAGAATATGCATGCTTGCACTTTTGATCAGCCATCTCCTTTGGAGATGACTCTAGTCCTCCTTCCCTTGGACTGATGCTCGTCAGGCCGGGGAAGCCTTGGGCAAGCCGCAGGTCGACCCTTCCTCTTTGTGCGAAAGAAGGGCTCCGGTTACCTGGCAAGCGGTTGGGATTCCGGGCCAGTCTGGGTTCTAATGAAAATCCAGCGGCGGAGTGATCCGATCGACATGGGTGCTTCTCTTCTTCTCTTTGGCGCCCAGCGGGGTCCGTGCACCGCACTTAAATGCTTGAAGGGACCTCACATGAACACAAACGGTAATCGAGAAGGAACAATCCTGCTCTATGAACGGACATACAAGCAAAGATAAGGGAATGAAGGGAGTTGCTAGACTCCAAGAAAAACTAGCTCACCTTTGAAGATGCTCACGAAAAGGAACCGGGCACTATGTATGGAAGTTAGGTGCGAGTGGCATGCACTGTCCTGAATGAAAACCTGTGAGCAATGGGTAGGAAGCGCTGGGTGCACCTGGGGAAAGTCACTTGTATTATGTGTGTCCCACTTGGGGCTTGTGTTTGTATGATGGGGATTTGAGCGTCCTGCCATTCGGAAGGAAAGAATTGGTTTGCGCTGGTCGGTGCGGGATGCGGAATGGTCGTCCTCTTTGAAGTTCACCGGGTTTCGTGTGTGGGGGTCGGGCCACCAGGCTGTCAGGCAAGGGTTGGTCTCGTCGGCTGATTAAGTAGCATTCTCACCCGAGCGGTCCGAGCATGGCCCGATGATCTTGCCCACGCGGGGTGTGAAACATCTTCAGGCGGGGCGGCTGCTTGTCGGCAGACGGCAGGGGGACCACTGCATATGGGGCAAGGAAGGAGCCTCGGAGGCGATTGAAAGCTTCTCGTAGCATGGCTAGGAAAAAGCTGATTCTTGTCGGACCGATGGAAGTGAATGTCTGGACGGCCGGCTCGAATGGCCTCACCGAGATGTGCGGGGTGATTCCCGAGACTAACGGTGGGTACACGAGTGGCAAGTCGGGATGGGGTATTCTGGGTAAGGAGGAAAGGGCGAATGCCTTGCCGAGACCTGGGTGTCGCGCTCGCGACGGTTGAGCTGTGCTGGAGGTATGGGCTACAACCCTGCCGATAGTGACAGTGGAGAGACCATTTCTGGGAAAAGGTCCGTGAGGAGATGACTGACCTGTGTGCGACGTTTGCCTGAGTTTTGCTTTTTGTGCCTCCCTCTGTAAAGTTGCCTGATGAATGTTGGAAGGGGAACTAAGTTTCTAGTCTATTCTCGACCCTACCTAAGTCTGCACAAGTGAGAGAACATGAGGAAGAAGCTGGATAGAAGTCGGAAGAAAGTGGAACCAAAAAGGGGAATGCGGGCCACTGGTGATCGATTGGGGGTATAGTAGGGCAATGGTACCTGGGAAATGGATAAGAAAACGTTAGGGAGACCCGGGTGAGGGGTCTGAAAACAACTCTCATCTAGAAAAGGAAAAGCAAACCATCTGACCATGAGGGGCCGTGTGATGCTCTCGTGTGAAAAACAGGACAAGCGTCGGGAAATAAGATGGCGCGATGGTTGTCGCCTCCTGTCTACTCTAGTGGTCTGGAAATGCCTATAGAAGTAAGGGATGGGGTATCTATTGTTCTCCCGGAAGAAGGGACATGGACCGACCTAGAACCAGTCTATGAAACCGTGATGCAGGACAAGAAGGACGCGTTGCTCTAGATAGAGACAATCTGGACTAAGGTCAGACTGATAAGACTCTCATCGAGCTTGATGGACCAAGAATTTCGGGGAACAGTGGAAGCTCGAGGATGGATCTACCTATCTCAATAAATGAAAAACGCAATGGTAGTGAGACTAGTATTGGGCACTGCACCGGATCAGCTGTTTAGGCAAGTGGAACGGGAAGTGGTATGAGCAGCATGTCAGCGGGCAGAAATGGAGATGGAAAGGATGGAGGTGCGAGTGAAACTCGGGGACTGGAAAAATATGAGACGCCCCCTTAGGACAATGAGATGCGTGCTACCCCCATTCCTGGTGGATGAAGTCTTTGGAACCAGGGGTAGATTGAAGCGGATATGCCAGTCGATGACGCGCCTGAGGTTGTACCAAGGTGCTAGGCAGGACTTCTTTAAGCTATCGGTGGAAGCGGGGCCTTTCGAAGGAAACTGGGCGGAGGAATTAGCTGAGGTGTTAAACCTCCTCAGCGCGGATGAAATCTTTGTTCCCAGCCCAATGCATTGGCAGATAATTTACCGAAACGTGGCAGCGGGGGAAACCTTCTTGGAAGGGGTGAAAGAGATGTTCCTAGATGAGGAGGAGGATTTCAGTGATGAGGAGGATGGAGACGAGATAGAGGACTGGGACTTCTGAGGGGGGGGCTTACCTAGGGAAAACGGGTTGTCGGCAAAATGAAGGTAGGGAGCGATGGCCCGGGAACTTGAGCTATGGGACTGCACATGGGAACCGAGACGAGTCGGGAGGGGAGTAGAGATGTCAGTACCGCCGAGCAATGAATGGAAGGGGACCACATGTGATTGGCGGGGGTATGAGATTGTGTCGAAGCTATCGTACCTATGGATAGAGCGTGCCTGAAACCCGTTGAGGGAGGAGGAAGGATGGGAGGAGATTGCGGAAGGAAGGGTGGAATTAGTCGGGACGATCGTTCTCTCTTAACAGGGTTGGCACTTGTTCTGCACAACGCTCGCAGCAGGACAGAACCCGATGTGGCTTTTAGGGGACGCTGAGGCAAGGGCTCGACAGGCGGGGGAAAGGTTTGCTAACAAGGGGTGGGATACGGTCAGCAGTAGAGTCGTGATGGGAGGATGGAAGGAATTTAAACCGCTTGGCGCCCGAATCAAGACCTGGGTACTCGAGTTCGTGGCGGACTGGTTTAGGGGCTTTGATCATGTAACAGAGGTAGCCGACATGATGGAGCGAATACACGTGAACTGCACATGGCTGGCAGGGGAATTCTATAGGACGTCCTTGAAATACGGGCCCTTCCACGGCGATAGAGCCCGGGAGGTCCTTATCATTTTGGATATCGAAAGGAATGACCGGCAGGAGGTGGCCCCGGAAACTAGGGAGGCCATAATCCGCCGTGAGGTAGCAATAACACCTTGCTATGTGGATGATGTGTTCAAATTGTTCGAAGTACTGTGGTTCGACTAAGCGCAGGGAAGCTGTGGGGCCAGACAAATATGGGAGAAATTGCTAAGATAAGGGAATGGGATGTCTGGCCATTGTAGGGTTCAGTGCAGATTGCGAGACAGGAGATCAAAGGCGAGTGCGTGATGGCGCGAAGAAGGACGTTCCTCGAGGAACGCCCCTTGGGCATTGAACCGCCTAGGGAAGTGCCAGGCGGGATAGAGGTCAGCTTGCCGGCGGCGAGTGGAGGCTGGTACCAGGTAGCGGATTGGGTCGGAGTCGAACTTGCGGAAAACATGGTTTACTTAGTAACGAAAGTTGAGTGGCGTGCGGATGAGAGTGGGGAATGGAACCCGGACCCGCGGGGGCACGTACGTGCAGAAGGGCGGCTGTATATGTCAGAGGATGGGTGGCGGGAGTTCGGAGTTATGTTGGCGTCAGGAGAAGATCCATTGAGCATGTTCGAAGGGGCGTGGCTGTTGGTGTGGCAGGCGGGAATCGAATTCGCGGACCCCGGAATGGATGATGTAACAGGAAACCTTAGGGTAGCCATGGTCGGGAGCTTTGAATTACCCAGTGAGAACGTCCGGATGAGACTGCCGCCCTTCCTGCTGGAAAGGCTAGGCGGAGTGGAACTTATCAGACGCGCGGTAGCTGACCTTGCCACTCTTGCATATGAGGACACAATGGTACACCGGGAATACTACCGGGCCTTCCTAGAAATGGGGCCGTTTAGCGGGGAGCAGAAGTATGAGGTGTTGCGGACTCTGCGCGCCGTTCTTACCACCAGACCAAGGGCCCCGATCATAGGGGATGAAGTTCTATGGGGCATCGTCCGGCGGGAAATAAGTCAGGGGATGACGTACGTGGATGATTTACACTGATTGTATGAGCCAACGGAAGTAGAAACAGGCTGGTAAAAGAGTCGAGGAAAGGAAAAAGAGATAGAAGGGGAGAGAGGCATTGAGATAAGGACCAAGGAATTGCTCGGGTAAGGGTCGGGGAATGGATGGAATAAGCAAACTCGCTTGTTGTTTAAACTGTGCAGAGGACTGCTAGTCAACAATGGCAATGAGACGCGCCCGGATGTCGCGACGGCTCACGCACCCGCGGCCACCCACGGAATGTGGGGGCAGATGGGAGGTATCGCTCCCGGCAAGCTACAGGGTTCGAGGGATTGATACCGAATGGAGAGTCGTGACCCTGGGAAGGAACCAGGCATTCATGATGGTGGAATGTTTGTGGGATGGTATGAGAATTAATAGGGGGTTAGGGGACGACCTGTACATTGACCTCAGGGTGACGGGAACCGTATACCTGCCAAAACTTGGGTGGCATATGTTAGGAACAGAGCTGGCACTAGGGTATGGGTTGTTACCAATCTTTCAAAGGGCTACTAGGGTACTGACCCGAGTAGGCCAGGAAGTGCGAGGGAGGAGGAATGTGGGGTTGAGGACCCGGGTGGAAGTAGGAGGTTGGCGAGAGTTTAAGGCCCCAATGACAGGGCTGAGGTGCCGAGTCCCCCGCTTCATGGTGGACCTGGTATTTGGTAGCCTTAAGAGGGCTAGGGACCTAGTGGATTCGACCATGGTCTAGATCCACCACTTTCGACCACAGACAACGGGGATGTTTTACGATGTGTCGGTCAGGCATGGACCGTTCTGGGGTAATCAGGCTTGGGAATTACTTGACCTGATTGAAATTTTGATATTTGGGTTGCCTCGCTTGGCGTTTGAGGAGTATGAACCAATAATCGTTAGGGAAATAGAGATGGGAGAAAACTATCTTGCTGGGGTGACCGATCTGTTCGAAGAACCGGATGAGCAAGGCAGACCTGAGGGACCGGCATGAGAAAACGCGTCAGAAAGAAATAGGGAAATTAAGAATGGGTACTAAGATTAGTAGGCAGGCCATCAGTGAATAAAGGGGGCAGTGGTTGGAGTTCCGTCCGAATCGATAGCGCGGCAAGGAGGAAATAGGAAGACCACCGGCACCTGAAAACTCTGGGGCATTTGGAGGTCGAAAAGCCAAAAGGGCCACCCTCGATAAGGATGCCACTGGGCTCAAACACCGCCCTAAGAGCCAAAGCGCGGCAGTGATAAAATGCCAAGCAGCGACAGCAAGTCCCCCGGCGGGAAAAAAAAACCTGAAGCACGCCCTGGGAAAGAAAAGTTGGGAGAGTCGGGCCGATTAATATAAGACGCAAGAAAACATGGGAATAGGCAGGTCTTAGGGCCGGGACTAGGGCAGTTATGAACAACCGGCTACTTTTTCTCAAAAACTTTTCGCCATGTGCAGGCTAGGTAAAGAAATGGCGACTGAGGAAGGGATCGATGACCAGCAGAGCGGAGGGAATCAGGGCACGAATAGGGATACGGAACGAAACGAGGGATCAGCCAGGGTCGAGAGTCAGCCAAATTGGAAGGAAGCCGAGAAGACGGAAAGGATGCCTCAATTGGAAAAAGTTCGGGTAAAGTCGGGGGTAGCAAAAGGGGACCTCAGGAAAACAGGGAAGGGGGAAACGATATGAGAACAAGCCCTCGGAACTCAGCAGGAGTCACTCCTAAAAAGACAAAAGTCTCGGATGCCAATCGTAGAATGACAGAAATAGAAAAGCAGACCGCAGAATTTAAGGCAAGGCTTATAGAGCAGATGATGGCCGAGGATGAGGAGGACCCCCAGGGCGCAGGGTCGCCGGAGGGACGCAGGATCGGTCAGGACGAGGCCAGGTATGAGGGGAAGGATAATAGTCACAAAGGAACGCCTAGTAAGAAGGGGAAGGACAAGAATGACCCCCCGGCGGAGGGGACGGAAAACGCTATGACACCGCCTGCCATCGACAGCGGCACTAACCGATTGCCAGCCACGCCGAAAGTAACAGGGGCGTGCGACGGACTCTGGAGCCTTAGGGAAGGGGTGCTAGGATGGTTTGATCCAGAAGGAACACCGAAAACCAGGGAGAAGCAGAGGGAAAGCAAGGAGGAGAAAGGGACCAATGAAGCTGGGGAAGCGGGTAACTCCGAAGGTGGTCTCAAGAAGATAGTCACCACCCTTAACCGGGCACTGAACAAAAACCAAGGGTACCTTGCAGACGCAAAGAAGAAACTCACGTTCGACGGGGCAAACATTTTGGAGTTTCTGATAGACTATGAGAACCTAGCAGCCTTACTGAAATGGACGGAAGAGCAAAAGATTGAGCACCTAGGGCAACACGTGTCGCTAAGCTTGGGAAGGGACATTATGGCCATCGTCACCTCCAGTGGATCCTGGAAAGAAACTAGGAATGAGATGATGAGGAAATACCTGAAGGCAGAAAAAATGGCAACGAAGGTCGAATTAGCAGCAGTTCAGAGGAAAAACTATGCAACCTACAACGATTTCCTAAGGGCATTTACGTTAGTGGCTCTGCAAATTCCCGGGGTAAAGGACCGCATAATGAGTAAATACTTCCTCAGGCAGTTCTCAGAGTTTGACAAGGATAAGATTCTGTCAGCATACCAGCAGACCAGTTAGATTGAGTACACGAGACATGTGGACTTCAGCACCGTAACAGACCTTGCGGAAAAGACAGTGGTAACAGAGACACTAGCCCTACTTAAGGAAGGGGAGGTCATAGATCTGACCAGGAAGACAGGGGATAAGGTCAAGAAGGGGATAGAGAGCTTGCACGAATGGGCGCACGGGGTTGACAGCAAGATGGACAGAATATAAAATGCGCTGTTAGTAATGCAGGCTCAAGTGTCCCGACCCGCCCTCCCGCCCCAAGAGGCCGTGGTTCCAGCAGCTTTAGCAAACCTGGGGTTTGGCAAGAGGGACCCGACCAACGAATAATGCAAGTATTGCACCATGATCGGGCATTTCGTACGGGCCTGTCCGAGGCTCAATCACGATATCGAGGGGCAGAGGTGTAGTAGGTCCCTCAAAGGCGAGATCCTCGGACCCAGGGGGGAGCGTGTCAATTGGAACTTGCCAGGAGGGATGCGGCGAGCCGTCATCCTCCTGAATAACTTAGAGATAGCTGCCGTAGAAGCAGAGCCGATAGCCGACATTGTCTGGGACCAGCCAAGGGGACGGGGACCACAGACCAATTTTATCCTAGAAGGCAATGACCAGGATAGGGTAAATATCACCACTCGCCGGGCCGGCGCAGAAAAGAAGCTTATTCAAGATACAGTAATGGAGGAACTCGCAGGGACTAGCACGGGCCAGCAAGAGACCAAAGTCGGGGAACAAGAGAAGGTCTATGGGAAGCCAAGGGAGGATGAACCGGTAGACAAGGCTACGACCGCAAAAAAGAAGTTCAGGTATCAAATTCCGATCCTGATTTCGCCTGAAATCGATGGCACCTTGAGTAAGCTACTGGGTACCATGGTATCGGTGTCTTTTCAGACCATGCTGTAAGCCAGCCCAAGGCTGCTTAAAGGACTCAGGCAGTTGCTAACGCGTAAGCGCGTAGAGGTAGAGGAGGCCCCGGAACTGCAAGAGTAGGACACGAAGGAGGCCGAGGCGCCACAAGGAGTCTCCAACCTCCAAAGCATTTCAGGGGGCCTGGGAGATCTGGAGAAAGCCTTTGCGGACATCCGTCTAAGCCTACCGGATCGTGAAGGTGGCGAAGTCATGAGGGCACCACCTGGGACAAAGCTTAGCTTTCATGCATTACAAGTTGGAAAACTTAAAGTTCAAATCGGAACTCACCACACTGACGCGTTAGTGGACGGCGGAGCAGAAATCACTCTCATACGACGAGATTTCACAACAGTCACGGGGTGCACGGTAAACAAGGAAGTAATAGAGAGTATCCGAGGAGCCGGTGGCGAAATTCCTTTCATAGGGTATGTCACCAAATGTGCAGTTAGGGCGGGAATCCGGGAATCCATCTGGTCCTTTCAGCAGATGACCGTGATGGAAGAAATAGATCACGACGTAATCCTCGGGAGATCGTGGTGTGCCAATGTGGAAATGATAGGAATGCACCTGTATGACGACACATATATGGTAGAAATTGAGGACCCAGTGACCGGCCGCGGGGAACTCCTTCGACTTCTTGGGACCAGAGGGGAACCTCCGAAGGGCAAATTGGCAACCTGGTCTCCAACATTCGAAGAAAGTGCGCGAAAGGGGGCATTCACACGAATGGAAGGCATGAGGGAAAGAGTAGAAATTATGATCGAGGAGGCTTTTAGTAAAAAGGAATGGATCAAGACGGGTCTGTCCGTAAAGAAGAGGAGGCCAGAGGACGAGCCTCTGGGGTTATGGTGGCGGAAAAGGAGCAGGAAGTTGAACTTGGGGCCAGCCAGCCCAAGCCAAAGGAAGGTCGTAACGAGACCCCCGAGCTAGCGCTCGAAATCCCAGACCTGTTGCAACTTGTTAAGGCAATCAGGTACCACAAAGTGGGAGTAGACCCGACAGCGCTTGTCAAGTTTGAGGATGAGGTTCGAAAAGGTTACTGCCTGAATGGGAAGATAATTAGCATTCAGCCCCGTATCATGAAGGTAGCAAGGCCGATCCCGACCGTTCATTTTTTAGGAGAATGATCCCAGAAGGCAGTGTGCGAAAATACAAACATGTAGGAAAGAAGGCCAAGCCGGTCTCGATCCCAGTAGAAACATCAAAGGAAGAGGCCATGGAAAAAGAGGAGGAGATCCTACGGGTTATAAGGGAGAGACGCGCAATGGAAGGGCACCGCATACCAGACGAGGTAGCAGATACCATGAAAATAGGAGTGGAAGGGTTTCTAACAGCGGAAGAAACTCAGATGATAAGAAAGGCATGCCAGGAGTTTCATTTAGCCTTCGCTTTCAACGATCATCAGAAAGGGCGATTGGACGCAAAGCTACTTCCCCCTGTCAGGATCCACACCGTACAACACAAGTGTTGGAATGATAAAGGGCCCGCCTATGAGTTTGGGATAGCAGCGGAGGTCACCGACCTGCTTAAAGCTAAGATATATTCTCTCGTGGGGTGGTTCGTGTTCAGAAAGCCCAATAAGACGCTCAGGTGGATCCAGGACCTTCAGAAGCTCAATGCGGTAACCATTAGGGACGCAGACTCGCTTCCACATGCCAACTTGTTGGCAGAATCTCATGCGGGGCGGAGTATCTACTCCCTGGTAGACTTGTACTCAGGATATAATCAGTTGCCATTCGATGCGAGGGATAGACCGTACACCGCAATGCACACCCCTGTAGGATAGCTGCAGATGCAAGTGACCCCTATGGGTTTTACAAATGCAGTAGCAGAGGTGCAAAGAAGGATGCTCGCCGTCGCAGGGGATATGTTTCCGGAAAAGTGTGAACCGTATACAGATGATAATCCCGTAAAAGGTGCAAGGTACAAGGACGAGACGGAGGTCGAGCCAGGCGTACGAAAGTTTGTCTGGGACCACCTGGAAGATATTAAGGACCTACTCCAGCGATTCCTTGTCTACAACATTACTGCAAGCGGACCCAAGAGCATCCTGGCCGTCCCGGAAGTAACCATACTGGGATTCCGCTGTGGAGCTTATAGGAGAATACCCGACCCAGCAAAGCTTGATAAGATCTCTCAGTGGCCGACACCCCTGCGAACCACGATGGAAGTACGAGCCTTCCTAGGGGTGGTTGGGTTCTGGAGGATCTTCATCAAAGGTTTCGCAAAGATAGCAGAACCCATCCGCGCAATGATTAGGGAAGGTGGCACTATGGATTGGACCGAGGATAGGGAAGAGGCAGCCCAGACACTGAAAGACATCCTGTCGTCCGATCAGGTCACGTTAGCAGCACCCTGTTTCAATGACGAGGTAGGACGGCCCTTCATCCTAGAAACAGACGGGGGACCATTGGCAGTGGGAGGAGTACTGATACAGAGAAGCGAGGAGGGCAAAGAAAGACCAATCTGATTTGAAAGTAGGACCCTGAATTTAGCACAACGACGGTATTCGCAGTTTAAGGAGGAGGTTTTAGCAATCCTGCATTGTCTTAAGACCTTCCAGGCATACCTGTTCGGAGGCGATTTATCCTAAGGATCGATCCCACCAACGTTGCCCGAGCCCTAAAGATCTACAAGCCCATAGACCCGACTGTTGGCAGATGGATAGGCTTCATATGGCAATTCGACTATAAGGTCGAGCGAATTGCAGGGCTTCGAAATAGGGCAGATGGGTTGAGCAGGGTTTGTATCACACCAGAAGGAGTAGAGGACGCAGAACCAATTGACGCCTTCCTGGAGTACGAAGGAGGGACCCTTATCGTAGATAATGAGATGACAGATCTTGCACTTACAACAGGACAATTGTTGATTCAGACCTTGGAAAAGGGCGCACCTCCTGTAGTTGCAGAACTCAGGGAAGGACCAGTCACCACGGTCAGGCGTAAAGAGGAAAAAGACTCGTGGGGAGCAAAAGTAGGGGCCAAAGAGGAATTGATGGCAATGACCGTGGAAGGGGGACGGGACGCCGTAATGACATTGGCCGAAACCTGGGCGCAGAAGAAGTGTCTGTACCTAGTCAACCTCACTCGGGAGGAGAAGGGTGCGGAACATAACGAACAGGAATTCTTCCTCATACAAATGTATAAGGGCGTTTTCAAAGAAATCGGTCTATTGCTAGTAGAGAACAAACAACCCACGAAAATCAGTCCCAAGGCGAGGAAGGAAGTCGAAAAGTATGTCCTAAGAAACGGCCACCTGTTCAAGAAAGAGGAAGGGATGATGCCTAGGCGCGTCGTGTGTGGGAGGTCTAGGCAGCTGAACGTAATTCAGGCAATGCATGACGGGCTAGCTCGAGATCACCAGTCGTCTAAGGGAACACTTGCAAAGATCGTGCCCCTGTACTTCTGGCCAAGAATGGCAAGCATGGTCGCGGCATATTGTCAGACGTGTCTAATATGTCAAGAGAGGAGCTCCATACGAGTCTACGAGCCCCTTAGACCCACTAGGGTACTGGGACCCGGACACCTTGTTCACCTTGATTTTGCCATTATGCCCGTATCGATGCATGGGTTTAGATACATCTTGGATGCAAGGGATAATCTTAGTGGCTATGTAGAAGTCATAGCCCTCAAGAGGAAGACAGGAAAAGCAGTGGCCGACTGGGTGGAAGACTTCTATCTAAGGCACCCCTTCGTGCGCAGGTTTATAGCAGACAATGGGACATAATTCGTTAAGCAGGAGGTGTTGAACAGGCTTAAGACACTGTGTGTACCAATCAAGATCACCGAGCCCTACCATCCTGAGGCAAATGCACCAGTAGAAAGGGGTCACCGGACTTTGAAGAACACAAACGCAAAGTTGGCAGCAGATAATTTGGGAAGTTGGCCACGGTTTCTCAAACAAGCAGTCTTCGCCGAGAACATGACGCCAAAAAGAACAACGGGATGTATTCCAGCAGAACTCTGGTATGGAAGGGAGATCGATTTTCCGATAGAAGCGTTGGTCCCTATCTGGAACAGGCTAGATGACGACCCACACTTGAGCACGGAAGAGTTAATCACCGCACGTTGCCAGCAAGTCGCCAGAAATGAGGAGGCACTCGAGGAAGTAGTCAATCGTGTGACGGATAGCCGAATGAGGAATAAAGCAAGATGTAGAAA